GATTTTAGCATACTCTGATAGGGCAAAATGGAACACCATCGGTTAAAATTTTGATCATTCTCGTTCAGTGGATTTCGTGCTAGCTCCCCTACTATTAAGGTCACGACATACCTAAACTAATTTTAATTTTTTCGATCAGAACTGACATATGGAAAGTTTCAAACTTGAATGTTTAGTATGAAAAGTGCATAACGCCCTCTTAAAGGTATCTATGATTGTTTTTCTATCTTTTTAATTTTAGAAACGATAGCTTTTGAAGAAAGATGCATTTTAGTAATCAAGTATGTATAGAACAGATTTGAAATTAATAGAAGTTTGTCAATAAAATAAAATTGATCGATTATAGAATATTCTCTTTTTCGTGAATTATCTTTTTACACACGCGGTTAAACTATCAACGGGTAGTTGTAGTCCCTAGCCGCATCAACTAGAACATTTTTGGTGACCCCGACGTGATTTGTGAGTTGTCGAATAATTCGAAAACCTGAAAACCTATGGATCGATTAGAGAGAGCGCGTCGTCCTGTCAGGCGGCAGTTGAAGAAGTTGTGTGAAGACATAAACGTTGAAAGCCAAAATACTATTCCGGATTTGGATCAGATGCGTGTGAATCTATTAATGCTGGAGGATACTCATCGGGAATTGCAAATATTGGACGATACGATCAAAAACCGGATGCTTGATGACAACGTGGACGATGATCAACAAAATGAAGAATTTGATGATATCGCTCAATATGAAAAAATGTTTCAAACAGCAAGGCGAATGTTTGAAGTGCTGATAGATGGAAAATGCAAATCCATAACTGAAAATGAGAACTTGCCAGTATTGGGTAATCAAAGAAATTTTAAATTGCCAAAATTTAACTACAAAAAGTTTAACGGAGAAGTCAAAGAGTGGTTAGGATTTTGGAGTCAGTTTAAAAAGATAGACGAAGACATTACCATACATGACAGTGACAAGTTTCAATTTTTGGTACAATTGATGGTAGATGGGTCCCGTGCCCATGAATTGGTGTGTAGTTATCCGCAGACTGCAGAGAATTATCCCAAAGCCGTAAAAGCGTTGAAAGAGAGGTTTGGGAGAGAAGAATTCTTGGTTGAAGTTTATGTGCGTGAAATGCTAAAATTAATTATTCACAATGTCAGTCAAACTGAAAAACAGGATGATTTGTCAAAACTTTATGACCAGTTGGAAAGTCATTTGCGTGCATTGGAGTCGTTAAAAGTAACTTCAGACAAATATGACTCAATGTTGTATCCGATGGTGGAGTCCTGTCTGCCCGCTAATATATTACAAGCATGGCAAAGAAGTGCGGAGTGGAAGGGAAGGATGCTGACAAAACCACAAATAAGTTGAATAAATTGATGCAGTTCTTACGTATGGAAGTTGAAGGTGAACAACGAATTTCCTTGGCTCAAGAAGGTTTTGGTTTGGCTTCAAATCCTTCGAATAAAGTAAAAAATGTAATCCAGAAAAAAGTTGAGAAAATTCCTACGGCAATGGAACTACACTCTGGAAATGTTAAAAGCTCTTGTGGATTTTGTGAAAAGAGTCACGATACTCAAGATTGTTTCATCGCACAAGGGTGGTCACTAGAAGACAGAAAACAGAAGCTTAAAGAGACAAAACGTTGTTTTACTTGCCTACGATTTGGTCATAGATCAAAATCTTGTAAATATCGAGTGAAGTGTATCGTATGTAGTAAGAGACATTATGTAATTTTATGTCCTGTTCTCCAGAAGAGGGATACAACATCAGAAAGTAGAAAGTGCAATGAAGGTGATAAGGATTCAGAAAATTTGTCTACGAGTATGGCGAGTCGTGTATGCAGTGGGGATGTAATTCTACAAACACTTCGTGTGAAAGTACTTGGAAAAAATACATCTAAGGAAGTGCGTGCATTTATCGACCCTGGAGCGCAATTCTCCTATATTCTGAAAAGTTTGGCGTTAGAATTAGGGTACCGTAAAATTGCAGAATCAACGTTTTCCCATAATTTGTTTGGAGGTGCATCTATAGTTTCTAAAACGCACAAAAAGTATAAACTTTACTTGGAAAGTTTGTCTTCCAAATTCAAATGTCATTTTGACGTATACGATGAAGACAACATTTGTGGTGGGATTCCTAAACTATTAAACGCCAATTGGACACAAGAGCTACATGAACGTGGAATTGTAGTGAACGACGTCGGTAGGGGAAGTCATAAAATCGAAGTTCTGATTGGAGGTGATATTTATGGGAAGTTGCTAACTGGAAAGTTGCATCAATTAGAAAGCGGGTTAACTGCAGTTGAGACACTATTAGGGTGGACTGTTTTGGCAAAAGTAAAAACTTGTGGTGAATGGTCTTCTACTAGTATGATAGTTACGTCAATGCTCAATTCGTCATCCACAATTACAAATTTGTGGGATTTAGAAAAAATTGGTATTGCTGATCCTTGTGAAAAGCTAACAAAGGCCGAAGTCGATGACCAAGTGCGGGAACATTTTCGGCAGACCGTATCAAGGGATAGTGACGGTAGATATAAAATTTCTCTTCCTTGGTTAGATGATCATGCACGGTTACCTACAAACAAATTTGTAGCTCAGAGAAGGTTAGAAAATGCGAAACAAAAGTTGAAAGCAGACGGAAAGTACATGGACTACGAACAGGTATTTAAACAATGGTTAAACCTTGATGTAATAGAAGAAGTAAAAGGTGAATGTGTAAATTGTCATTATTTACCACACCGACCTGTGTACAAACCAGACAGTAGCCCTACAAAGGTGCGACCGGTATTTGACGCGTCATGTTGTAGTGCAGGTGGCGGGCCAAGTCTTAACCAATGTTTAGCTAAGGGGCCCAATCTGCTCGAACTTATTCCTGACCTACTCTTACGTTTTAGAGAAAAGGCAGTCGCTGCAACAGCTGATATTGAAAAAGCATTTTTGATGATTGGAGTTAAGGAAGATGATCGAAACTTTCTACGGTTTCTCTGGTGGGAGGATTCTACATGTTCAGATATCAAAATTTATCGACACAAGCGTGTCGTTTTTGGTGTTAACTGTAGTCCATTCTTTTTATCTGCAGTTATTGAATACCATTTACGAAGAGTTGATCAGCATCTTAGGTCAACAGCGGATAAGCTATTAACAACGTTATATGTTGATAATGTAGTTGCATGTTTTGATAACGTCGAAGAATACATGAAATCCAAGAACGAGTCAACGCGTATAATGGCAGAAGCGAAATTTTGTCTTCCAATGTGGGAAAGTAACGTTGATCATGTTCCTGGGTCCTTGAATCCTGCGGATTTGCCTTCTCGTTCATTATTGGAGTCAAAGTGGTGGGAGGGACCAGCTTGGCGTAAAGATATTGAACAATGGCCCATCAATAAATATGTCGAAAATGAAGATGAAGTTCAACAAGAGAGGAAGAGGATGGTTACGGCGTTTAATACCGTGATGGATGAGATTCCATGGTACTTTCCTACGAAGTGTATTCTGCTTCCTTCAAGACATCCTGTTGTTGATGCGCTTATTCATGAGGATAAGTGTCATGCAGGAGTTCAATACATCGTGTCCCACTTACGAGAGAAGGTTTGGATCTTGAAAGGTAGAAAAGCAATACAATATGTGGTTCGCAATTGCGTGAAGTGTAGACGTTTTCGAGGAAAAGCGCCAGATCAATCATGTAATGTTTTTAAAAATTACCTTTTAGTAATTTTGGTGGGAGTATGAAGAAAGATGCATTTTAGTAATCAAGTATGTATAGAACAGATTTGAAATGAATAGAAATTTGTCAATAAAATAAAATTGATCGATTATAGAATATTCTCTTTTTCGTGAATTATCTTTTTACACACGCGGTTAAACTATCAACGGGTAGTTGTAGTCCCTAGCCGCATCAACTAGAACATTTTTTTTCGAAGAGCCATTTTAGCTTAGGTTAGTTAGGAAACTTGAAACTCACAACCCCTTCTTCACACTCGCCATCTTCGAATTTTATGTAGGTACCCCTTACTTATTTCATTTGAGTTTGTATTTCTGTAGTGTTATTTTTCTTTTAGATTTGTTTATAATTGCGTACCGATTGCTAATTTAGATCTGTTGCTTTAATTCTAAAATGTGAAATTGAAATGTAAGAAACACACTGTTCCTTCAACGCTGGTGGTGTCAAGGGTAATTGGCGCATTATTTTTAAACATTGGAAGGTGTTTTTCGGTGGAGGTGGTTTCGGTAAATAAAGTAAGTAATTTCAATTCATGATTCTTGTATTTGTAATTATGGACGGTCTCCGAACAGCGTGTTATGTACAAACAAGCTTTTTAAGCTTTTTTTATTTCAGGAATTTTGTTTTTATTTTCATTGAATGTGTTTCGGAATTTTTATCACAATAAATGACTTAATAGTGTGTTTATTCGAATCCATTGTACGACCCGCATAGAGTCTTTATGTCGGAAGTTGATCGAAGCCACCGAGTTTCCGAAATTATTAATTCCCGTAAATTTTAAGATTTTTCTTTAGAGCAGAGTGGTGTAGTGGACCGCTTACCACTGCAGACAGCAGTAGTTTTCCTAATTCGTAAGGTAAATACCGGAGTAGTATAGAGCGACTTAAGACCTTCTGCAGGGGCACCTTTAAAAGCATTATGCGGGTCACTCTGTAATTGGGCACAAGCCTGTTGAGGGCCCAGAACAAGAGAGAGACAATAAATAAATAAATAGATAAATCATGCATTTGCATTAAATACGCCTTTGTAATGAAAACGCAACTAACAGTATTTGTGTGAGTAAGAATTTACAACAATATTGCACTTCACCCTAATAGCTTAATGTTGCGATTAACAATTACTCTAATTTATTTCGCGGCGTCAAAAAATACGTAAGGCAGGAAGTTCAAACACAAAAAAGCTTTTCAACTAACAAATATATGTCACTTGAGTAATTGAATTGATTTAATGCGCCTTTACCCTGCCGCTGATTTTGAAAAAAACCTGAAAACAAAAAAATCCACTTACCTTCCTATAAAGTCATCTCTTGTTCTGTCTCGGTCCCACACCGTAACCTCTAACTGCTGATCACCATCGTCATAAAGGTGCAGATCGAACTGCTCCAACCACTTTGGATTAAGAGATCTCCAAACAACTTTACTTTTGTACTTTTCATTACCTAACCTAAAATTAGGTCCCGTAAAGTATCGAAAAGAACATGGTGTAAACATCTCACCTAAACTTAACATATGGATCGGAAGTTCGTGTTTCTGGATCACAGGCAAGAAGATTTTTACCTTCGACTAGAACTATAGTTACTACGGAACTCCAAATCTGAGATTTCAGGCGTTTGTTTACGTCAGAGATTCTTGCATTCTTCTGGAAATACTGAAACAAATTAACATTTATCATCAGACAACTCTAATACACATTTCGTGTAGTACTTCCCGAATTTAATATTTAAATTCTCGTTGCGTGCTACGGAGCTGTAATGGATAGGTAAACTTAAAAGCTCGCATTATTTATACATGACATCCATTCCGAATTGGAAACTGTAAAGTTATACAATATCAAATTACTATGGTAACAGAAGGCATCCGCTTGCGAAAATTTAATCAAATAAAAAGTAAGGCTGTCGTGGGCGAAAAAAGAAATCGGTCTGAAATTTTAGCGTCAGAGACAGACTTTTCAAGAACCTCTTCAGTTGGAAAAGTGAAGTGTATGATCGGATGTCAGTTTGAGGACAGGTATCGTCAGCTCAACAATGCAATGAGTGAGGAATTTCATTTGATTTTGGAAAATTGCGTACCTACATACGATAAAAATATTGAGCTTGTTCTCTTAAAATGTATTGCAAAATGCGTATAAAATTGCGATGACTAAACAAAAGCGAAAACTGTTCAAAAATATATGAGGGAACTCGGGATTTTAACATAATTAACAATTTTAAATTGCAATTCGTTGGTTTAAGTTATATATAAATATGATTTATTTCGAGCAACTGGTTTCCATAATTATTATGTAAAAGAGGGTAGGTCGCTAGGAAGTAACCGTTCGTTTGTATTGTGGATCTTTATCATCGTGGTGTGGCTTCAGTCCAATTCAAAAGTTCCCTCCAAGGCAACATGTAGTCGCGATCGATTTCGAATCCTGAAATATATTTTTTAGTTGGCAGTTGTTGAAATCTGTCGAACGGAGCAGGATCTTAGGGTGTGGAAATTTGGTATTTAGTCTTCGTTCAAGTATGACCCCCATTAAACTTGGAGTCAAAGGTCAACAAAGTTCCAAGAGTCAACGTAAAAGTTCATATAACCAGAGTTATCTGTCGATCTATTCTATCGGTTTGTTTTATTCTCTTTTTGTGTACGTCTTAAAGCATAAAAGCGTCATTTTTCTGTTAGAAGACGAGAAGGGCATACAAAAAAAAAGATAAATTCTAAAGGAGCCTCAAGAATATTTCCAAACCCATTTCAAGGCTTCAAAGACTTCGAAAATTTCCACACCAAGATGGTTTATAAGAAATCATTGAACCTTCCTACTTTCAAGAATGAATAGCACGTTTTAAAGAAACATCCAGGAACAATGTAACAAATTGTGATTTATAACAAATAGGTAAAAATTTCAAGAACTTGATTAGTATAAACATTTTCGGAAATGATTCCGAGGTTCTAGGTAAATTTCCATGCGTTCCAGGAAGGAATATTCCAAAATGAAATTTAAAAAAATCTAGAAATTTGAAGTTTCCGAGCTCCAGAAAAGATTGCAAATAGTTGCGAAGATTCAGGAATATTTTATGAAGATTTCTATACGATTTAATCGCAGAGAGAGTTTTTAGATTCTAACAGGAAAGAACTGATTTGCTAAAAAGGTGGGTAGGAGGGAGGACGGTGCCATAAAATTATGGAAAATCTTACGAGGATTCCATGCAATTCTGATCCTGATACGTTTAAGGTGGGTTTTGGGAAGGGAATCATTAGAAAATTGACGAAATTATTATTTCCAAACTGTTTTAAGAGGTTACTAGTAGAAAGAGGTAACTAATAATTTTGACTATTTGGGGGAATATTCTGTATTTACAGGATACGCTATCCAATTTTGGGGTCAAGTTTATTTTGAGCTTCTGTTAAGTGAATAAACCTGTATTTCTTTTGCTACCTAAATTGATTTTACTGTTATTACTACCCTCGTATCTTCTTAATTTCATACGGAAAGAGTTACGATAGAAATTGAATGGCGCACAACCCTATTGGTAAATGGCAACAAAGGACCGAAGACCATATTCTCAGAACGTACGACCACTGTGGATATTTTCACGCTTTTGTTTTATTTCACAACCTTTAGCTAGGTGGCCGTTTATGAGGCGGATGTGAGATAAAAGCAGCGCCAACTATGTCTACTGTTATAACTCAGTGGTCATTACTTACAGTTAGATGAGAAAAAAACTTTGTGTGAATTAATTCTAACATCAGATTCACCATCAAGAAAAAATAGGGATTATCACGGAATTAAGAAGAAGTAATAGACAGTTAACGTGATCGTTGTGCAATCACATTTCCGTCGCATAAGGAGATGCAATAAAGGACGAATTAATTAAGCGCGCTAAGTTATTTTCGTTACCATAAATAGCTATTGTAAAGAATTCAGTGTGCGCGATACCAAAGAGGGGATTGAACTCTTCTCTTCGTAGTCGTACGGACTGCAAATTTGTTACATAGTGAAGGTTTTTCTTCTGGGAGAATATGAACAACGTTTTGATTTCCCTTAACACTTGCTAACGCCAACCTTTTATGTTGATAAAATTGTGGCTTGCCCGTAACACTTAAACGCTAGACCGTTACAAAACTACCCCCCAGAGAAACATCATTTACCGAAGAACTTGTTTCGGCAAAGTTGCAAGTTGCAGGTCCGTTGTCTATTTTTTACTGAGTTATTAATGATATCCCTGCAAAAGACCTTCTTATGTGAGGTGCTGTTATTTCCACTTATGCAAAATTAGAGCTCTGAATTTTTAAGAAAAATATCGTAAATTAAATTTGATTATGGCCTATGATAGACCTATGGGCATTTGAAGCCGTTTTGCTATTGCATGTATTTAACTAGAATTGGATTTGTTAGATAATAGAATAAATCAGTTTTTTTTTTTGGATCGTTCAAATTAGTGGATCCATTTATGATTATATTTTGGGTGAACTGTGTAACAAATTGTGTCGTATAGTTGTTATTAGATTCGAGAATCATAAATAGTAAAAGAAATCCTTTCATTATTTGATGTTTCCATCAATAGATCTAAAACTGTATGGTAATCTCCTGTTTGATTTTGCGAGCAAGCAAATAAGAACATCAAAGTTTGAAGTCAATTTTCAAGCTAATGAGAAAAGGAGAAATTTAGGCAAGTAATTCAAGCACAGCAAAATTTATGTTATGACTTTATGAGCCTATGAGTTACAATTTTACTCGTATTTCAAGAAACCTGCTTATATTAAAAAAAACGCGCTGCATTCTAAGATCTTCCGAATTTTTTTCTAGAAGTCAGTGAAATCGTACCAAAAAGGTTTTAGATCCAGGATTTTTGGTGTTTGAATAATGCAAATTCACATAAATGCACTTACGAGTAAGATATCAAAAATAATACTGACCGATTAATATAATATTACAGGAATATTCCAGAAATATTAAAATTTTGAACAATTTCGAGTTTAAAAATCTTCCAGAAGGTTATTAATATTTAACAAGGATTGGAAATGGTGAAGAGATTTCACATAATTCCAGATGAAAATTGAAAACAATGAATGCTGGTATAGCGTAATTACCTAAACAGCAACTCAGATGGCAACACGAATTTACGTAAACTTTACCGATTTACTAATCTAAATTGTCCTTATGGTCGCGGTTTATACAATCATTATCATTAGTTCACTAAGCTCAGGATGGTTTCATTGGCGCAATAAACCTTTGTTTCTATTGGCTATTTCTGAGTAATTTTTAATAGTGAACTAATGATAATGATTGTATAAACCCCTCATTTTAGTGCGTCAGTTATTCAATGTTGCAAATGCATACAAAATTTTCTCTGGAATCATTGAATACGGATTAATACTTTCTAAATCTTTTGGGAGTTGTCAAAACGTAAGTTTCTTACTTGTGTTAGTCGTTTAATCTTCATTTAAAGTCAGAGAACGTTCTTTAATATTTATGGTACGACCTGTGTTTTATAAGTCGTTTATACGTAGCATTACATAGAGTCGATCGCATAATACAAAGATTTCGACCCCTTATACGAAAGTGGATGTTAGGAATCGAAATAAAAATTGGATTCCAGCAGAGACTTGTCTCTGGATTCCAGGCATACAAAATATCTCCGTTTTTAATGCAACGATCACACTATCTTATCCTTTCTGAATGTCTAGAAAGCGATGTCAATATCCCCATCCACGATTGCATTGTGCTTCAAGCGTAATAACTACGCGACATGCATTACAAACCAAATTGAGCAGTGTAGGTCATATTGACTTTGGGTTCCGTTTCGAAATAAACACAGCCACCTAAATCCGCTAAAACTTTGCATTTCCGTCATCAATTTAAGTTTAATTTAAATTACATTTCGCGGAGAGTTTTTTGAATTCCGACAGGCGCAGCTTCCCTATAATGAAATCTCATAAATTCACCTCACTGCATTCTTTTACGAGCATCCGTCCCAATTCGCTATTTTAAACACTTTTTGCTTGGAAAGAAACGGCAGCTTCGTTCATCTGACATTGTCACTCTTACCCTCACACTCACCCTTGTAACGATTTTTATTTAGAAACAAGAGACCTTTGTCAATTTTCTGAGATTAGTGCGAATAAATTTTTAATAATTTAATTACTCTTTAAAGCGTTTACATGGAACTGTATGGATGATGAGTTTCAAACTTTCCCCATTTGTTTTTATTAAACCTTCCTTATACTGTACAGCTTGCCCACTTTATTAATGACATGTCACCAGGTAGGGGGCAAAGTTAACGAGTCAGTGGGTCGTTCGCCTGAGGAATTAAAACGATGAGTGACGCCGATTCATTGCAACCACCTGATTTTCCTGTGTATTGTGAGCCACGTAAGGTAACACAAATTTCGAAATCTCAAAAGCTCGAGTTCGAAGCTAATCCTAAGTTGCAATTCTAACTCTCCCGATACTGCAAATGAGGAACTACACCCCCGCTATAAATGCGCATCGCTAACAAATCAAAATTACCCAATTACGTACAGAAAGTCCCATTTTTGTACATACAACTAGAGCAGGGTCGCGCTTTGTGGCGTCATTCTCAATTAAACTGTAGACGGTAATCTTCATAAAGTGACCATATAAACAGAGTACAAACAGCGTAATCCTCCGTTATGAATTGGACAGTACGAACATCATTAATTACACAGACAAGCGTAGCGTTAATTACATTGCAAAAAGTTCGTAATTCTAACGTCGCGCGGAATGCGGTTTAAATTAGGCGATAGAATTTCTATGGCTGACAATTAATCCCTTATACACAAATCACGTCTAAGAAATTTGCATGTCATAA